AGGAGCAGTGCCGGCAGATCGAGGGCAGTGATTCTTCCCCTCTATTCAGCACGGGGGAGGCCACATCTGGAGTCCTGTGTCCAGTTGTGGCCCCCCCATGACAGAAAGGATGTGGTCAAGTTGGAGAGAGTCCAGCGGAGGGCAATGAAATGGTTGTGGGGCTGGGGGACAGGACTGGTGAGGAGAGGCTGAGGGAACTGGGCTGATTGAGTCTGAAGAAGAGGAGACCGAGGGGGATTTGATAGCAGCCTTCACATCCCTGCAGGGGGGCTGCAAAGAGGACGGAGCTGGGCTGGTCTCAGTGGGGGCAGACGACAGGACAAGGAGCAATGGGCGCAAGCTGTAGCAAGGGACATTGAGGTTAGAATTTAGGAAAACCTTTCTCACGCGGAGGGTGGTGAAACGCTGGAACAGGCACCACAGAGAGGTGGTGGACTCTCCATCCTTGGAGGTGTTGAAGCCCTGGGTAGACAAAGCCCTGGCTGGGATGATGTAGCTGGGGCTGGTCCTGCTTGGAGCAGGGGGTTGGACTAAACGTGACCTCCTGAGCTCCCTTCCACCATCATGTTCATGATGGCCATGCAGCACCTAGTACCACCAAGCAGGATCAGACCCTTCCCACTCCAGGCATTTCTCCATGAACGTGGGTAACCCAGATCCACGTCCTTTCCCCACAAAGGGTGCTTCCTCTGAGCTGGACTTTCCCATCCCCTCTACTCTCCCTGCCGGGGCAGGGCTCTCTTCCTGCATGACTCTCATTCCCCCCTCCGTTGTCCTCTCTCATCCCCGTCCGTGCTGCATTCATCTCCTGATCTCAGTCTCGTGTCTACACTGTCTCTTCTCTCTCTCTTTCCCTGTCTCCCTCTCTGTCTGTCCAGCCAAGCTGCTCAACCTCTACATGGCCCTGTCAAATGGAGGCCCCTACTCTCACCCCGCAGGTGAGATCGTCGTCAACATGGAGCCAGAAGTTCCCATCAAGAAGATGGAGACCATGGTGAAGCTGGAGGCCGTGAGTATCCCAGGAACCGCTTGCCTCTCGAGGGAGCTGCCGGCCTGTCGGCGTGTGCAATGCATCCAGCACCTGGGGTGAAAGGGCCAAAGTGGGGGGAAGCTGCAGGGATCAGTGCAGATCTGGCCTGGCCAGAGAAGAGATATCCGGGGAGCAGAGATATCAAGTTGGCTTGGAGCACCGCAGAATAGAAAGCAAAGCCCAGCACATGCCTGATGAGTCTGAGCAGCTCCCCGCGAGCAACCCGGCAGGGACACGGCCCTAAGCTCAACTTGGGGTCCCTGAAGTACCAGGCTGTTACGCAACGTGCAGTTGGCACCTCCTCCCCACCCTGCACCCTGCATCCGAGTCCCCTGCGAAACAGTAAAGCAGCGTGTGAGCGCAGCCGTGGGACAGCAGTTGGGGATTCCCGTAGCAGCCCCTCCAAAGGGGCAGAGATGGATAGCCCCACTGCGTGCACGCGCAGGCTCGTGTGTATGCATGTGACCCCTAGCACGTGGATGTGCATGTGTGTGGCAGGCTTCTAGTGTACAGGTGGACATAGAGTCCCTCACCTGTGCGGGGGGGGGCGCGCACGGACATGGGATCCCAAGTGTGTGTGCAGACCCACACATGCACGCATGCATACACAGATGCACATAAATGCACACACATACACACAGGTGCATGCACACGTGCACACATATGAGCAGATGCACACGCCTACACACCCACACACACATACATGTGCCCACACACATGTACGTGAATACACACATGCACACATGCATTCTCACACACACACAGGATCCTAGCGCATGAACACCCATACCGAGTCAGGGTCCTACTGCACACGTGCATGGGATTCCTGGACCTGAGTGTAGAAATCACACAGAGCCCCAGCGTGGCTGCAGGGCCCTTGCACACATGCACACATGTGTGCACAAGCCCCTGGCCTGGGCATCCGGCGCTGAGCCACCCCAACCAGCACACATTCCCGGGCATGTCCCAGTCCTCTGGATCCCAGTCCATCGCCTTCCCAGCCGGCCAGGCCAAGAAGCATGTCCCAGTAGCAGGCCTCTCAGCCTGCCTTCCTCTCTTGACATCCCTGCATGTGGAGCTGATGTGGGGCCCTGCATCCATTGCCTTTGTGAGGGTGTTTGCATCTCCCGTGCTCTCTGTGTGTGCACGTGTGAGTGTGCAGGGCATGGGGCTGCTGCCTGTGCATATGTAACATGGCTCTCTCCTTCCCTGTCCCCTCTCTGCATGCGGCAGAACTCGGACGCGGTGGTCAAGGTGGACGTGGTAAGTGATGCCTGGCCCCCGATTTGCCCTCCTCCCTCTGCCCCGGGTCTGATAGACTCATGGCTGCTTTGATTCCCTGGCTGCTGAGCCGTCTGGGGTGCTGGAGGGGTGGCCAGGGATAGCGGGGGCATGAGCATGACCCACGGCCCATGGAAGCCCAGGGCATCTTCCCAGTCACTGGGATCAGACCCTGCTATGCTGAGCCTTGCTGGAAGTTGGATCATGCTGAGACCCCTGAGCTAAGCTGTTCCCATGACGGGTGCCCCCAAAGGGGCTGTTCTGGTCAAGCTGCCCCCCACCTTGGGGAAACCCCACCAGCTCCATTGCCATCCATAGATTGGGGCAGTGGGTGGCAGGAGGCTCTGGTGAGGATGGAAACTCAGGAGACCCAGTTGCTGCTGCTGGCTCTGCTACTGACTCTCTATGTGGCCTTGAGCATGTCACTTTGTTTCCCCATCCTTCAAGGAAGGTCTCTCATAGCACAGACAACTCCCAGGGACTTCCACACTGCCCCATCCCTGTAGCATCTGAGTGACCTGGACTGAAAGGCTCCTTCACCTTGATCCCATCTCTTTCTTTCTCTTTCCCCATCCTGCTCCTGCAGCCTGAAGATGAGAAGGAGAAGAAGAAGAAGAAGAAGAAAGGTGGAGCGGAGGAGATGGAGGAAGAGGAGCCCGATGAGAGCATGCTGGACTGGTGGTCCAAGTACTTCGCTTCCATTGAGACCATGAAGGAGGTAGGGGCAGCGCTGGGGATAGGCAGGGACAGAGGCCACGCTATAGTATAAGTCTAGTGTTCGCGGGGCAGATTTGCTGCTATGCTCTGGGAGCTTGGCACCACGGTGCTGTAGGTGCATCCCTGGTATGATGCAGAACTACGGGATTGTCCCATGAATCTGCCCCTCCATGACACCATGCCTGGAGCATCCTGCTGTGGGGGTAAGAAACACCTCCAACCTTCCCACACGGGTCTCATCCAGTCCTGCTTCTCTATGATGATTCCTCCAGAAGCGTTGGAGCTGGGCACATGACACCGAGCCTGTTCTCACAGTGTGGTCATTGAAAATTTGGTTTGGAAGTGGCCTCAGGAGGTCACATCTAGTGCAACCCCCTGCTCCAAGCAGGACCAGCCCCAGCTACATCATCCCAGCCACAGCTTTGTCTAGCCGTGTCTTCAAAACCTCCAAGGATGGAGAGTCCACTGCCTCTCTGGGAAGCTTGTTCCAGTGCTCCACCACCCTCCTAGTGAGAAAGTTTTTCCTAATATCCAACCTCAACTTTCCTTGATGCAACTTGAGCCCATTGCTCCTTGTCTTGTCATCTGCTCCCACTGAGAACAGCCCAGCTCCATCCTCTTTGCAGCCCCCCTGCAGGGAGGTGAAGTCCGCTATCAAATCCCCCCAGTCCTCTCTTCTGCAGATTAAATCAGCCCAGTTCCCTCAGCCTCTCCTCACCAGTCCTGTCCCCCAGCCCCACAACCATTTTCCTTGCCTTCTCCTATGTGTCCACATCCTTTCTGCAGTGGGGGGCTCACATCTGGACGCAGGACTCCAGATGTGGTCTCATCAGGGCTGAATAGAGGGAAGAGTCACATGCCTCCATGTGCTGGCATCGCTCCTCCCAACACAGCCCAGGATGCCGGTCGCCTTCTTGGCAGCAAGGGCGCACTGCTGGCTCATAGTCAACTTCTTGCCCACTGTCACCCCCCAGTCCATACAGGGACCTTAAAGGACTCTCCTTTCCCAGCAAATATCCCAACATATTGAGCCTCAGCAGCTACCAGAAAGGCAGATAGAGCACGAGTTACAGCAGCCATGAGGCTGCTGTTAGCTACTGGCTAGTAGCAGGGAACTAACTGTTGCAGAGGTGGCATCCAACCTCCTTTGCTCTCTCTCCTGCTGGCACACAGCTTACCCAGTGCCCCCTTTCCCTGCCAGCATGATGGGTTTGTGGTGGATGCTTTGCCTCATGAGATGTAAAGCAGGTCCTGGCTGCCCACAATTACGAAAGGTTTCACCAGGCTGGTTTTATTCCATGAAACCTATGGGAGTTGGCTTCAAAATCCCAGGGGAGTCACATCTGGGGGTAGCTATAAGAAACCCTCCCCAGGTAGGTGGTGGTGAAAGGCCCAGTGTGGTCATAAGCCATGCGTGCCATGTCCTGGGTCAGACCCTAGATCCATCTTGCCCAGTCTCCTGTGTCATACGGCAGCAAAGAGCTGGAGGGGAGAGCAAACAGGGTCTGAGCAGGCTTTTCCCCCTTTTCCTGTCTCCCTTGCAGCCTCCAGCATTGACGGTTCAGCAGGTCTGATGCAAAGGTCATGCCTCGCACTTCTGTGCTTAATAGTGACCGATGCCCCTTTCCTCCAAAAATGTGTCCAGTCCCTTTCAGTAATGGTCCTTTTTGCTATCGAAGACTAAAAAGGACCTAATAACAGTCTTTTGCTGTTAGAGTCTGCTTCTCTGAAAGCAAAATACAACCAATATAAAAGGCCAAAAAAAAATGGAGCAGAGTAAGAGAAGTAGTTTCTGGATCGAATGTGGTCTCCCTGGCCACGTTGCTGCTGGAGAAACAGGGGCGGATGAACCTCTCCGAGACACAGCAAGCCTGTCCTGGCATTGGGCTTCTTAAGACATTGCTTTTAGCTGCTTTCCCAATTCCCAGGCTCACTGCAGGGCTGGTAAAGAGTCAGTCTTGGTGGACTTAGCTTTAAATTGAAGGCAGTGTTGAGGAAGGAGAAGGAAATAAGGTGGAGGTAGATGAGAAGACAGGGGGGTGATGGAGGGAGGCTGGGTCACGCACGCCGGTTGCTGTTCAGGACTCGGTCCAAGCTGAGAGGTGGGTCTTTCGCTCTGGCTCATCGGATCAGGTGGAGGGTGGGCATGTGGGAGACCCCAACGGTACCGGGGGGATGCAGGGGTCCCAGGAAATCAGGGGGAGTGATGGGAGAATTCAGCCCTCTCAGTCCAGCCATTCTGCTGGCGGTGGGGTCAGATTATGGACCCCAGTAGGGATGATGGGAGACACATCCCAACCTCCCAGCGAGGCCTAATTTCCAGTGCACCCATTTTAGTCTATTCACATCCTCCTGGTCCCCCGACATGACGTCTGCACGGTCACTGAGATCCGCAGCCCTTTTGCACAGGCAGACATCACAGCTGGGCTGTATTTCTGTTCAGTAGGAAACCTAGGGTCTGGGCCTCACCGCGCCGGCCCCACTTACCAGCCCTTTCGTCTCTTCCCAGCAACTTCGGCAGCAGGAGGCAGCCGCAGCAGAGGCCGAGGAGAAGGAAGAAATGGACATAGCAGAGGGTAAATCTGAGAAGCAGGATCACTCTCATCATGCACTTGGTTCAACCCAAAGCCAGGGCTTCTGGCCTGCTGCTGGCCACGTGCTTTTTCCTCCACTTCCCGGCTGCAGTTTAGGATCTACCCATGCATTTCAGTAGGCCTGGACACACGTAATGTTTGCAGCAGTGTAATCCCCCTTTACACCATTTGCAAAGGCAAGACCGGGTGCACGATTTGCAACCATGCAGGGGTGTCGCCTGCTAGAATCCAGTGGGAAGCGACACCCAGAAAAATAGCAGTGCAAATGCCTGGGGGTGTGTCTGTACATAACCCAGGGTAGTGACTTAGGGCACACTATTATGTGCTTCTGGCCATTATCCCGGGATAACTAGTCATCTGTGGGTGTGTACACACATACTAAATTTCTGACAGTTAAGCCGACTTAACTTTTTTAAGTCAACTTACTTGTTAGAGCATATACACGCATGTGGAGCAGAGTCAACTTAAATGTGGCTTAAGATAATATGTCTCCAAGGTGTATTGTCTTGAGTCGCATTAGTTAAATCAACGTAGCTCACTAGATGGCTGCCACTATGTTAAGAAGCTGTACGTGTGTACGTGCCAATGTGGCTTAACTTAAATCAGCTTAGTTAAGTCAATTTACTTAAGCCACCTTATTTTAAGTCAACTTAGTTAAATCAACTTAGTTTATTCGCCTTATTTGAAGTCAGTTTAGTATGTGTGAATACATCCTGTGTGCTCCAGATCGGGTGCAAACAGATGAAGATACCACTGGTGTGAACAGGCCGTGTGTCCAGCCCAGCCTGGGGAATCCCAGCCTGCCTTTGGATGTGATGATGTGTCGCATTGCTGACTTCAGCTGCCCCCTAATCCCAGTGCTTGTCCTTTGGCAGGCTCCACCCTGCCTGGCTGAGGTGTGGGCTGGCAGGTAGGCAGTGCAGCCTAGGAAGCAGAGGCCAACATGTGTTGCTGACTTTCTGAGGGGTCTTAGGGACCTGGCATATTCTCTGTGTCCCTTGGCTGTCCTGAAGCTTGGTTCACCGGTGTCTCCAAAGCACCCAGGGCCCCAGCCTCTGTAGAAGGGGGAAGGTCTCTTTAGCAATGACCCTTTGCCAGCCCAATTCCAGGAAGGCCTCTTAGGCCTCTCCCTTCCCTGCTCCCAGGACATCTGTCTCCAAGGCTGGGTGGCTTGTTCCTCTGAAGCCTTGTGGGTCCAGGGCACAGGTGGGTCCCTGTGTCTAGCCCCTTCACCCTGCACCGTGGATGATGTTTCTGCCTCTAGGAACCCTGCCAATGCATTGCCAATGTGGGGGAGGACTCAGTTCCTGGCATAAAGCAAGGATCTCCCCTGCTTGGCTGCTGGGAGGTGTCCCTGTGCCCTTCTATAACCCAGTGTAGCTCCCAGAGTGCCTTACTCATTGGGGGTCTTAATTTGAGCCCCTCTGTGGCCAGTTGAGCAGGTCTCACTGTCACCAATGGAAATACTGAGGCACAGAGAAATGATGTGGTTTTTCAGGACTTCTAGCCAAGCCCTGGATCCTTGACCCCAAACCTTGTGCTTATATCAGCACCACAGTATATTAGCTACAGCACAGCCCTCCCCTCCCTGCTTCTACCCAGTGTCTGCAAGAAGCAGCTGGCTTGATCTGGGTCCCCAGGGGAGCTGAGTGCTCCTGGGTCCAGCACGGTGAAGCCTGGCCAGGGTGGGAGCTTCAGTGTGGCTAGGATCTCTGTGTTTTGGTCTTCATTTCCTCCACCCGTTGTCCGTGCTATTTACTGCTGTGAATGTGCTGGCTTTAAATGTCCCCTAAGAGATGTGTGGATGGAGGGAGTAGTTCATACTGAGCAACAAGAGATGCCAGAGGAGACACGCTGGGGTCCTGCTAGGCTACACGCTGGCAAAGGGGAGGGACTGGTGCCAATGGGGTTGGTGGCTTTTGCCACTGAGTCATGGGCTTGACTTTTCTGGTCACAGTCCTGAGGACAGGTGAACCTTCTGGGTGTCTTGGCAGTTTTATTCCAGGGTTTCTCCCAGCTCTCATGAGCTCAGTACCTCTGCTCACATGAGTCAGGGCCCCAGCCAGCATCCTAGCAGGCTCAGCAAGGAGTTGGCTCCTGTGGTCCATGGCAGCTCAGCTCAGCTCTCCCCTTCCCCCTGCCAGCATAGGCTGGGTTAGGATGGTGGCATGGGTGAAGAAATATATGCTCCATGGCAGCTCAGCTCCCCTCTTCACCTGGAAGGATGCTGGCAGGCGTGATGCAGCTTTACTGCTGCCCTTGTTCTCCCTCCTCTCTGGGCACAGGGCTTCCATTTCCATGTGGGCAACCCATCGCCTTTCACCCATTGGCACCAGGCTCTCAGCTTGGGTGCAGCTTCCCTGAACTGCACCCATTAGGGTACTGGCCTCTAGTGAGATCCAGAGTCTCTTTTCCCTGGTGTCCTTTGGCCTCTAACAGCCTCCCAGGAGGAAGCCCGATGCCCTAGCAATGGGTCTGCTCATGCATGCTGGGTACTGGAAGCTGCATGTGATATGGAGCCTGGTTGCAGTCCCAGGTTGCTCCTGGCAGAGCACCAGGGGCTGGGCCTGGGCTTGCTCTGGCCACTCCTGGTTCTTGGTCCCCTCTTCCCCATTGCAGCATCTGTACACGGTGCTGGTAGCTTGTTGCACGTGTCGTGTCTCATCTCACTCTTTGCCAGTTGTCTGTGAGTACTGCTTGAGCATGTTCATCCTCTGTCTTCTCCCCTCCACACCTTTGGATCCATGCCTTTGTCTGTCATCCTCTCTCTGTTCTTATCTGCATGGCAAAGAGGCCACAGGAGTTGGCAGGAAAGAGAGACCAAGGGGAGAGTATGGGCAATGGCTTTGAAATGGGGAATGGTAGGATGCTCCCAGCACCTGGGAAACGTTACCCCAAGCTCCCTTACTAGCCATGCGGTCTTTACTCCATTGGCACAGAGTGCCGGGCCCCTCTCTGCTGCATCCTTGGCAGGCAGGGTAACAGCCTACTACTGCAGCCATCTCTGTTAGCTTATTTTGCAAAGGGCTGTGCTTTCATCCTGCAGATCCTGGATTCACCCCTGCTCAGCTCAGGGTTCCCTGTGCCTCAGGGCCACTTGAGCCCTGGGGATGGAGAGTTTCCAGGGTAGACGAATGGCAGGGAGGTGTGAATAACTTCCTTTTGGCTAAGGAAATTGCCTCAATGACCCGGCTCTCAGCTCAGGAGATGCAGGGGTGAAGCCTTATTGACCCCAATATAAAAGGAGATGCTGGATCTCCATGAGGTCCTCAGGTTGGGGAGGACCGGGTTAGAGAGCTTCTGGAGGGGCTGGACGCGTTCAAGTCAGCGGGTCCGGATGATCTCCACCCCAGGGTGTTGAGGGAGCTAGCTGGGGTTATTGCAGGGCCCCTGGCACGGCTCTATGAGCGATCGTGGTGCTTGGGCCAGGTGCCAGATGATTGGAAGGTAGCAAAT